AAGTAGCTGCAAACGCGACCGCGCATTTCCGGGAAAAGTTTCAGGAATATCGGCGTACCTGTAGAGAAATTCGCACCGATCCCGAATCCAACTGCAAACCTTAAAGCTATGGCTAATGTTGTGTAGACATAATTGTTGGTTGGAACTAAGATTTTTAGCAAGCCGAATAAAATTTGGGAGAAACCTGCCATTAGCATGCCAGATAGCGCCAGAAGTTTCTTGTTTCTACTTGACAAGAGAAATTGAAATGTGAAAAAGGCGGATGAGGCCTCGCCTACGGGAGACGCACCGAAAATGATTCCATTCACAGTCACTGACACACCTCGCTCCTCGTGGTAATTGGGAAGAAATGGACCCAGGAAATAATCGTTCGCTCCGATTACGGTGTTCATGCCCAAACCCACAGTCAAAATAACCCATTTCTTGCAATACGAAATATGTTCTTCAGCCATGCTGAATTCTCTAACAGAACTATTCGCTCAAACGAAAAGGTCAAAGAAAATCTGAACTTTGTAGAACATGTTTTCAGTTCGTAAACAAACACAACAAATTCGTAATTTTAGCTCATAATTTTAAAGGTTAAACACTTGTCATATCGGAATAACGGCATAATATTGAAAATGAGAGAGAGAGAGAGCTCATTCCTGATGTCAAAAGATCAATGACGAGATCAATCAACAAGATCACTGAACAAGATCAAGGTTTATTTTCGAGCGATTAAATTAATTGAGTTCTGAAAAAATAACAATTGAAAACAAGGATAGCCGGTTACTGTGCAATTAGCACAGAATGTTCAACCACAATCTTAAAAAATACAAAAATGTTTTTTTTTTCAAATTGGTGTCGAGAGTCATAGTAAAATAGGTCAATTGGACAACAGTTTTTGAAGTGAAATAACAAGAAAAAAGAAAAAAAAAGTTAAAAATAATTTCGAAAATTAAAAAAACTTCCAACGTTTTTGATATCCAAAATTGCGCTAGAAAACTCCAAAAGCTACCTTTATTTGATTAAAACTTAAGCTTTCACGGCTTAAACTAAGCTTAAATAAGCTATTGTAAGCCTACACGGCTCATTAAATGGAAATAAAACCTAACTATTTAACTCGAAATTAGACCAAAAATCCGTGAAAATTTTTTTGAAAACTTATTTGAAATTTTTTAATGTTCATATCACGACTGAAAGGGCTTTAATATGATGTGTCACTCAACTATTGTGTCCGATGATTATTTGTCGGAACAAAAAGTAACTTTCAATTAAGCTTTTAGGCTGAGAAAACATTTTAGGTTTGATTTTTTTAAACAGAAAATTAGTTTTTGGATTTATCACTTTCTTGACAAAAAAATGTAATAAAATTTTTATGTATTTTGTATTTTCTCTAATCTAAACAAATAATTTTTTTTATACAAAACTAGCCAAATTTTATGCTTTTCAGTGGCTTTTTGTTAAGTTGAGAGAAGTTTTCTTGCGCATAGCCTTCAGAGTTTTGTCCTTCTTGCCTCCCAAAGCCACAATGGATGAAACTTTTCTGTAAGTATTTTAGCGCCAACGAATAACACGACTGCCAAAGAATAACAAGACTCATTTTTGGCTAAACATTGACCAACTACGAAATCTAGGCAGATAAAATTGAATTTTAAATGTTAAAATTTGAGTCGTGTATTGAATTATTAAGACCAATTAGCTTGCCTCAACTCAATTTGGAACGCTTATAAATTCGGAAAATTTATACACGCATAAATAATTTGCGTATTAAATATAACAAACTATTATCCGAGCAGCATTGCCATCCGCATTTTAATCTAGTGAAGCGTACTCGCTTGGCAATCGAAAAATTTCTGGATCGATACCGATACTCTGTCAACTTTTGTAAAATCGGTCTGAATAAAAACCAACCCAGGCTCAATTACGCAATTTCTACAAAAATCCTATCAATAATCCAAGATAATCCTTGATTGAGCAATATAATCTTCAAGTTTAAACTAGAGATGTTATTCCCCCTCAACTAAAAATAAATGTTTTCGAACATTTAAAAAAAAAAATTACTTAATCTTTTTGCAATTTTATGCTTTCCCGAAAACGTACCAAACATTATCGGGGAATCTTGTTGTGGTTATTAGCCGATGTACATGAGAGTTTTTCCGTGCCATTTGCGCCAAATTTCGTCTCACTTTGGGACCTATCCAAAGAAAAGGAGTCTGTTGAACCATAATACTGGGGAATAATTACACTCATATGATGCAGATTGAATACGTAACTTGTTGATCAAACTAATGAAATATTGTTTTTCTTAAGAATAGGATGTCAATCATACAAGCTCAAGTCACATCGAATAATGGCGTTATTTTAAAAATGAGAGATAGCTATTGTCTCATGTCAACAAGAAAAGAAATTCCAAGATGAAGTAAAAGTAAGCTGAAGAGACTCGGTTCCTTGAAGGCCTTTGAAGTGAGGTGTTTAACCAACATTTTAAATCAAAAACTTTCAAACAACAATTTTTTCCAAATAATCTAAGATAACATTGGATTAGCAATATAATTTTCAAAAAAGACTAAGACTGAATTTTTTCCAATTACTTTTACAAGGTAACTTTATCGTCTTGTAATTGTATGCTCTCCCGAAGCATAGGAAACATTATCGGGTAAATTTTTGTTTCGATTATCAGCAACATACGGGAGGATTTTGGTTTTTGTTGGTATCTGCGGCAAGTTTCGGCGCGTCTCGAGTCCATCACAGGAAGTTGGCTCAGTTACCGGGGAATAATCGAAGCATATGATGCTGATCAAATTAGTAACTTGTTGATCAAACTGGTGAAATAATGTTTCTTGGTAGAATGAGACGCAGTCTGGTAAGTTTGGTCCTACAATTGAGAAGGAGTTGCGGAGACTGGGGTAGTTCAAGGACATTATGGCAGAGTAGAGCCTCCCTCAACTTCATCATAGATGACTGAGAAGGCCGAGAGGGAGACCAAACGGTTGTACATGGACCAACGCAGCTGAGGAGAACATACCTTGAAATGGTTTGTTACTGTGCCAACTTTTGGCGATAGTGAATAAATACATATGTGATTCAGGTGTATTGTTTTTGCTCAGACCAATTTCGACTTCGTTGGTTGACTTTTTGTATGGTTGACCAGTTTGTGTCAAGGCATATAATCACGAGTTATCTCAATGATGAAAAGACTCATACGTCAATCGATGAACCACTGTTCAAAAGATTGAAGACAGTTGAGAAAGACTTGTATGAGGTGGAGTTGTGATAATCAACCATTGAACGCAGAGAGAACCCATCAATGTTGGGTTTTTCTTACTGCAGTATGCAAAACTGAGAATGTTTGAGCTATTCTATATTTTCTTTGACGTATAAGTTCTGTGATGTAAAAGAATTTGAAGAGTTGGAGACGAAGGCAGACTCGCCTTACTCAGCTGTTACTGATGAAATTTTTTAAGACTGTTTCCAGCCAGATAACAAAGCCACTTGGGAAAAATGGGAAAAATTAATACAGAGGTTTTTTCACGTCAGATGCAAATTCTAAATTCTTCCCTCGAATGTGTTGCAGTGCCCGCAAAATGCATAATAAACGGGACTTTTCAGAGAGAAATTTATATGTACAGAAATTCTATGTTTGTGTAGCAAAATTTATTGCTGCTATGACAACAAGTCAGAAAAATTCAAATTCATAAATAGAGCTTCGAAAAAACGAAATCTAGAAGATTCTGGAGACGGATTCATGTCGAAGTTAGGCAGAGAACTAAATGAAACAGAAGACAAACAGAGGCTTCAGAACTGTAAGTCATATGGTTGCTACATGAGCAGACAAAGAAAGGACATAGTTGTTTTTATCCAAAACCATTGAACTTATAGGATCTGATGCAATTTAATAAAGTTATAAGAAGTGATGCCATGGATTAAAATTATGTACGATGCAGTAATTTGTGATTTTTATACTTTCATTGTAATTTGTTTTTTTTTTCTCAAAATATGTTTTTTTGAAGTTTCATTAGCTTGCAGCTACATATAGCAGGAGTTGTTAGAACATCATATAAAATTAGCCCCAACTCAAACCAGATCAAACCTGGTCGTATTTTGCAATTTTGGACAAAAATTGAAAAAAAAAATCTAATTGGTTGCGCAAAAATTCTTACCATTGACTTAACATGATTCAGAAACTGAGTACAACAGCTTCATTCCAAAATCTACACGTAATTCACCTTTGATATTTACCAATCAGATAACGCGAGCCGAGATTTTTGCAAAAAAACCAGATATTTCTACACAAAAACCAAAGAAACACCATTTTTATTACCGTTTTCTTACCATTACACAAATCATGAAACCTTGCCAAATTTATTTCGTATATTAATTTATTGCAGACTCTACACCCAATATTAATGCTTAGCATGGCAGGCCGGAATTCTATAACGTATATTTACACAGAAGGTCTGCCATGCCCCCCCCCCCCCCCCCCACTTCTGCCCCAACATCTACACTTAGGGCCAGACTTTAAGTGATTTTTTATGTAGTCTTCGTCTATCCTCATTCATTTTGTTTCTTCCTAAATGTTTGTTGATCTTGTATACAACTTGGAGAACTTTCTTTTTTCTTCCTTTCTCTTTCTTTCTGTCTTTCTTTTTAAAATCTGAGACTGATTTTTAGATTTTTCTAAAAACGTTTATTTTGAAAAGGATTTTCTTAGCGTCTAAAACGTATCTATAAGCACGATATATTATCCAAATTTGGCCAAAACAGCCATTTTCAAGCCCTCATAGAATTTCAAATCTGCGCTCAGGATATCGATAATTTTCAGATGGTTTAGTAAACTTTCATCGTTAAATTTATCTAATAAAAACGACACATTTTGTCTCACTTTCTACAAAACTTGAAAAACAATTGTAAGTTCTATGACTAAATGTAAAAAATATTTGGCTCTTTTCCAATTGCGCAAAAAGCAACAGAACTTATTTATTTTGTAATATTCAGAAGATCTGGAAAAAAGCCAAAAATTTTCATACTTTTATTTTGTGATCTCTAGGCTTGTTGGGTAATAAGCTCGGCGCAATAAACCAACTCTTGCTAAGAATATCACATGCCATGCTAATGTGAGTAACGCAATAACAGCGTAAATTAGACAGGTGAAATAGTATCCCAAATGCTCGTTAAAGAATCCGCCGAAGATAACAGAGCCCAGTATCCTCCCAGAAGACATGACCACACTAAAACTACTCGATGCAAATGTTCGCACTTGTTCCAAACTTCCAGACCCCCGCCTTACAGCTTCATTTTGCATGATGAGGTAAAAAGGGTTAATGACACCATCGATGGAGATTCCGTTCACTACTAGCAGAATCACCGCCCAAGCTTTTGTTTCCAATTGAGGCACTAAGTATGGTAAGAACATTACGAATGCTGTGACTGGTGTCAGTATTTGGGAACAAATCAGGACAAAAACTCCGTAGCCCTGGTTCACTAATACACCAACTGTTGCACCTGCAAATAAATACTTTGAACAGTGACCTATTTTGGGGGGAAAAATCGCGCTTACTTAACAGTTAAAATATATTTTTTTAAAGAAACGAGTAGTTTTCCTCATTTTTGAATCGTTTCAAAAAATTATTGGATGCATACGTTCAATTAGTTAGCGGATGCGACGCGAATTCAGATTACGCTCAAGATACAAAGGGCACAATGTTTTTGCAATCTGATAATTTTCAAGCACAATCTTTTGCGAGAAAAATAGTTGAATAATTTCACATTTGAAGTACCGATTGTGGTTTAAATTCAGACGGCAACACTGTGGACTTAGTTTTTAGAGTTTATTATTAGAGAGTAAGATTGTCTGAGTGAATTAGTTAATGCAAGTAAACACATACACTCATATACGCTTAAAAACTGAGAATGAAATAGTTTTCTACCTGTGATTGTAGCCGCAAGTGCATTAGACGCGAATACGTATCCCATGCTTCCCAAGTCGATTCCGATGGCCTCGTGGAAATGAAGAGAATACGCGGCATCTCGGAAACCAGACATAAGAAACACGACCAACGAGGGTATCACAACACTCATAGTTGAAAAGGTGACAAAAAACTTCAGATAATGTTCAGATTCGTTGGGATGATTCGTTGGGCTGTAGCTTTTAGCTGCAGGTGGGAAAATGAGTATAGCTATGCACGAGAAGAGAGCCTCTAATCCACCTGCAACTAAAAATGGCGCACTATACCCGCCGAAAGGCACGAGTGCGCTCCCGATTATGGGTCCCGAAAACATTCCGGTACAAAAACAAGTCTGAATTATGCCTGTTAATAGACCAGGGTTGGTTAAAAACGTATACAAGTTTTTTATTCGATTAAAAAGTTTCAAACGTCGTGTACCTTTGAAAACCTTTACTGGAAGATTTTCATCCGTCGATGTATGAAATATGTTCATCTGGGATTTCGTGGAAAATTTCATTAATCTACTTTCCATGGCTTTCCTTCATTACTAAACATCAGGTTACAAGTTAAGCTGCAAACGGTACGTCTAACAGCCAAGATAAACATTGTTATATCGGCTTACTTTTAAAAAGATTCGACCCACTGATGTTTTAGGACGCAGCTAAAAAGGTGTTGTTCTGGAATTTTTTAAAACTAGATTTTTGCGACGACTTTGTGATGAATGCCAAATTGTTCGGAAAGAAACATTAATTAGCAGGCCCGTTTCCATTGACCAATCGGCTCGCAAAATATTCCATATCTTTAATCGTTTAGAAAAACTTTAGGTTTTTCGAGTCAAGCTACTGATTCAAACAAAGAGTGTTTGAAATAATTCAAACACGTTCCAGCTTAAACAGGTTGGCAAAATTTTTCTAGGCAAGCCAGCTGAATGATACCTTTTGAAACTTTGAAAACTTTTCCTTTTTATTACGATGAATTTCATCGAAAGAATTCAAAACTTATCCACAGCAAAAAACTCGTGGCGAAAACAATTTTCGAAAAACTCGAGGCGAAAAAAAAACAAATTTTATAAGCCTGCCATTTAAGCAGTGAAGTTTCTGATTTTGTTTGGAAATATATTATAGCGCGAACTATATCGGAAAACGTGATAAAATTTGAAGCAGGCCCGTTTCCATTGACCAATCGGCTCGCAAAATATTCCATATCTTTAATCGTTTTGCAAAACTTTAGGTTTTTCGAGTCGAGCAACTCACTCAAACAAAGAGTGTTTGAAATAATTCAAACACGTTCCAGCTTAAACAAGTTCGCAAAATTTTTCTAGGCAAGCCAGTCGAATGATACCTTTTGAAAAATTGAAAACTTTTCCTTTTTCTTACGATGAATTTCATCGAAAGAATTCAAAACTTATCCAGAGCAAGAAACACGTGGCGAAAACAATTTTCGAAAAACTCGTGGCAAAAACAATTTTCGAAAAACTCCTGGCGAAAAGAAAACAAATTTTATAAGCCTGCCATTTAAGCAGTGAAGTTTCTGATTTTGTTTAAAAATATATTATAGCGCGAACTATATCGGAAAAAAGGAAAAAATTTGAGGCAAGCCCGTTTCCATTGACCAATCTGCTCGCAAAATATTCCATATCTTTAATCGTGCATTTAATCGTGCATTCTTTCGAGTGCATTCTTTCGAGTCAAGCTGCTCATTCAAACAAAGATTGTTTGAAATAATTCAAACACTTTCCAGCTTAAACTGGTTAGGCAAGCTAGTCAAGCGTTCGAAAACTTATTCATGGCAAGCTAGTCAAGCGTTGAACCTTTAGAATTATTTCAAAGTGAATTGAGTTTCATCATTTTGAAGCGTTTCGCAGCAGCAAGCGATTGAACTTTGAAAGTCAGAACCAGAAATTGATTGTCAAAAACTTTGAAGTTTTTCAAAGCAAGCCATCCAAGCACTAGGATATTTGAGTTAATTGAAAAATTAGCTCGAGTCTTTTAGCCTATTTATGATCATGATCAAAAAAAATTTCGAAAAATTTTAACTTGTTTCCATCCTTGGATCGAGTCGCAAATATATCAGTTATTTCACTGAACGGATTGAGCAAAACAAGAAGAAAAGAAAATTTAGTTGAGCCATAACATGGATCATTTAGAGGAACATTTTCTAAGTGAGCTACTGAGCAACTCAATTCGCTTTCATAGTTTGAATCTTTTCGGAAAGCTTACCTTGTTTTCAAGCTTATGACAAAAATTTGAAGAGATTCAGATTGTTTTCATGGCTTGATGGCTTTTGGGCAGGCTACTGAAACATTTTTGGTAAGGCTACTGACCATGACCCACAAAGGCCTACCGTAATTAATTTAGTATGTTTCTCGCTATTAGGAAAAGTAACAAAAAAATCTATATCTTTTAAACTTATAAGACCAAAAAAAGTTGGCGCGCTTGTCATGGAGAGTTTGCCCGCTAGAATAGGCCAAGCAAACTCTAGCCAGCATCATGCATTTTCGGTCCCACTTTTGAAGAAAATTTGAAGAAAAACTAAAAAATAACAAATTTTTCTTCTTTAACTTTTAAAAAATTGAGATTCCTTAGGCCGTTTTTGTCTTCTAAGCATCCCGCTTCTCGAAAAAAAATGAGATTTTGATTTGCACCCCTGAACTACATCCTCATTATCAATCAACCACAGCTACAAAATTTTTTAGTAATATTAAATTTCGAATTGTTTTTTGAAGTTTATAGAAGTTTCGAAAGATTCGTAAAACCGTCAAAATCTTTTATACTACGAAGTTCCAAAAAATTACTTTTTCGCCGTATATAGGCCACCTTAAATTACAGCCCCGTTAACAAGCAATCAGTGGTCCAAAATTGAGGTTAAAAAACAATTTGAGACGTAATCTTTGGAATGTTTCTCAAAATTACTAGACAAATTGCATCGTCATCTGGCTTTTATATAAAAAAATTTTTCCCAGACTTTGTATAGAAAAAGCTTCTAAAATATCAGTGCCTTTACCTTGCTTTGCTCTGCCCATTTTCGCCGCGCGGTGCCCAGCCTTGCTACCCCTTCTAGCTTTGCCCTAACCTGCCTTGCTTTGCGCTACCCTGCTCTACCTTGCCTTGTATTACGCTGCCTGTTTTTCCTTACGCTGCCCTGCGCCTCCTTACCTTGCGCTACCCCGCCCCTCCTTGCGTTGTGCTGCCCTGTCTTGTCTTGTCATGCACTGTCCTGCTTTGCCGTACGCTGCCTTACTTTGCTCTGCTTTGTCTTGTGCTGCCTTGCCTTGTGCTCCCTTGCTTTACGCTGCCCTGCCTTGCCTAATGCTGTCCTGCCTTACCTTGTGCTGCCCAACCTTGCACTGCCTTGCACTTCCCCTCCTGGTATTGCCCCTCCTTGTCTTAAAAAAAGCTTCTCTCACCTTCATGACTTGCGCCTAAACCTTTTCCCTTACGTTAGCCATTATCCCCTATAAAATCGCTCGCTCAAACATTGCGCTCATAAAGTTTTTGGTGTTGCGTTTAAATAACAGATTTCTGGATTCAAAATAAGAAGTGACAAGAAGTGACTATCTGTCGTTCAGATTCGTTGACCGAAAAGGATATTGCCAACAATTTGGCATTAACTATAAAATAACCTGATTTAAAAAATTCCAACCCTGGATTAGACCAGCTAGTTCCGGAAAGCACCTCAAAGATATGGGTATGAACATAGCATACGTCATTGCAACACCAAAACCGTTAAGAGCTCTGGCGAAGATGCAAAGTGTGAAATAAACTCCAGGTCCAGAAACGAAATTGAGGAGTCCAAAAGTGGAGATGGTAGCGGAACAAAGCAGAGTTCCAGATATTGAGACGAATTTGGTGTTTGTAGGAGTAGTTAAACTTCCGACCAGGAATGAGAAGAAGAGACAAGATACGTCCAGTGATCCGGCTACGATTCCGATTTGAGACTGGGTCAAACCTTAAAACACATGCTAACCTAAAAACCTTAAAAAACAGACTTTAAAACATGCGTTGGCTCATAAGAAAAACGCAAGTTAGCGACTTTCCTATAAATTTTCATGGCTTTAGATTCGTCGTGAATTCCCGTAAATTGATTTTCTGAGCTCTCTCTCCGGAGACGTTTTTTGAACTTATTTGAAGTAGGAAGCGCAAATACAGAAATGATGTGCTCAAAACTTTACAAAAAGTACTACGAACAGAAAGTTTTGAGGATCTTGGAAATGAATCGTAAGAGAAGATTCAAAATATAAAATATTTCAACCAAATCTACCAAAACTCTCCTGTAATTTTCGGATTTGACATTTTATATTCATTTAAAGTAATTGTTTTGATTGGTATTGTCATCTTACGTTCTTTTTGTATTTGTGAAACTTGACTCTTAAGAAAAAATTTTATTCGCTCTTTCCTTTTCATAGTATTTTCGTCTAAAATGCCAATCTGTAAAAAAAATTGTCTGATTTCGTTTTTGTAGCATCCGTCTAATTTGCTTATCGTCTAATTTCGTAGGCCCCAAATATAACATATAATACATATTTACATAACATTATTCATCAAGATTAATACTGGCACAGTACCACATTTCCCGCTCAACCCGACCAATTTAACAATAGATAAAAGTTTTTACAACACAAAAGCAAATCGGAGCTTCGTACCATTTGCAATACAATAAAAACATACAAAAGATAAAAGACATAAGATGTCTCAAAAAATGAAAAATAAAAGAGAACTGTATTTTTCGTTTGCCTCGATAAAACATAAGTAGACGGCCAGCTAAAGATGAAGGTAGCTTGACATTGTTGGAGCTGGTTATACTGATGCGGGGGGATGGAGGGCTGGTTATATTGAATCGGATTATACCCAATAACTTAGTTGTTTCTCACAAAATAGGTCAGAAGAGTGAAGATTTTTGAAAAAGTGGAATTATAATTGTCTTTGAAAAAAAATAGTTATCGCTTTTGCAATAAAAGTGCTAGTAGCCGGTTTGTTCGATTGAACCCTTCATCTTAGCTTTGATTAGGTGTTCTCGGATTTGTTTAGGAAACTTCAAAAAACTTCTATTAAAGGGCCTTTCAATCAAAAAGTTGACTGTTCCAAGAGTCATAGCTTTTTGCAGAGTTTCTTGGACCTAGCCGCTTGTGCAGAAATGGTTCAAACAACAAGTTATTTCGTTCGAGCGCTAAGACTCAGATTTGGGTTGGTACTGTTTGAGGAAAATCAAACAAAGTAAACAAAACTGTATAAAACCTAAAATTGATTTTTTCGAAAGTCGTAAACTATTTTATAAGCTAACTGTGCGTGTTTAGTTATGCAGGGGAGCTTGCCACAACCCATAATACCCATTGAACCTAAAATTTAAGATTTAGGAGGGTAGTTATCGAGAAAACTTGAAAAGTTTCCAAGAAACAGTTAATCAATCGAAAATTTGACTTTTCCGAGAATCATCGCCTTTTGTGTAAGGAATTTTGGTCACAACCACTTGTGCAGAAATGTACACAAACCGTTATTTCGCTGGAGCAAAATGAGTTTTTTGAAGGCCGTTAACTTTTGTGTGAAAAGTGTGCGTGGTTGATTATGCAGGGGAGCTTCCCACAACCCGTTCTTTCCATTGGACACAAATTCTCAGATTTAGGAGAGTAGTTATCGAGTATAGTCAGAAACTTTCCACTTTCCAAAAAATGGTCAAACAATTTTAAAAAAACTGAGTTTCGCGAGAATCATAGCGTTTTGTGTAAAAAACAAAGGCAGATCCGCTAATACATGGGAGTTTTCCAAATTGCGTTCTCTCCATTGAATCCAAAGATTCATACATGGGAGTTTAGTTCTCGAAAAATCAAAAAGATTCAAACAGTCAAAAATCAAAATCCGTTTTTTTAACCAATAATCATAGTTTTTGTCCAAAAAAACTTGAGCAAACCAGCTTATACAGAAAAAATTTACTGGTTTGAGTGTGTTTTTGAAAAAGTCAAATATTTTCAAAAATTCATGAAAAACCAAAAAATGATCGACAAAAAGCAGCAGTTAAAAAAAAATTAGCCAAAACGCATAAATCACAACCTTGACACCTGGTAATTCATGCTAAATTACAGATGATTGAAGAAAGCATACAATATTTTAAGCAGAACTGTCATAACAGGGAACCAATTTTTAGAAAACAAAAACATTTTTTAACAAAAAAATACAAACTAACAAAATCGAGACAAAACCATACACTGCAAAAACAGTACTCTATTATGCTTACACCTAGTTGTATAAAAAAATTTTCCTGTTAAATTAAATAATTGCTCACAAACTGTCAAAAAAACTACAGGACAATATTTTTTGAAGAAAAAAAATGTTTATGAGGTACATCTGAAATTTCAAAAAATTTTTTTGTATCTGTATGCTTTCTAATGCATTTTAAGTTCCGGAGATTTAACAGTTTTGCGCACAATTGTCATAATAGCTCACTATTAATACAAGCTTTCTTAAATAGCAAAAATTGACCATCAATTACAAAACAAAAACTTTTTTCTGATATTTGACTTTCTCATGGAGTTCAAAATTGAAAAAACAACAGTTTTCATTCATAACATGAAAAGATCTTAAGATAAACCAATTTTCCGAAAAAAAAAGTTTTTTTTTTCACGAATAACGGTTTGTTTCAAGAGATAATTTCACAATTTATTAGCAAATTTGTTACAAATCAGCTCTCAAAATAATTGTGGTTTATGAGCTCTATCAGGTAGGAAAAAAATTGTCGAAAATCACTGGTCGGAAAAAATTATTAATTGAGAGCTTCGTTAACAAATTTCCTTAACTATGACACAAATTTTGATGAAAAAGCTATCTAATAAACTCTAATTTTGGAGTACACAAAATGGAAAAAAAATTATTTTAGAGTATAGCGCAGTGAGCATTACAATTAGTGTAACCAGTTTTTTCTAGCCTGGTATTATGATTTGTTTTTTTTTTCTGGGCAACCACAAAAACTGTAAAAAACAACCGTCTATCCAAACGCAGCCCTACATCTGAAGCACTTGCAAACATGTCAAACTCAAAAACGCCCACTGAATCCAAAATAAAAACAATTCGTTTGCCGGAACGACAATTTCTGTTAACATTTTTTTTACAAAAGTTATCGAGGACCATCGAGAAAGAATAAATATTGATATAACATGGTTTTAAAAATCCAGGATTTCATCAGTTTAGGATAATTTTATTATAATGTGCTGCATATATCTCAATCAGCCCAATTTTTTAAAAAAATTTTGCTCGAGCAGGTAACGGTGGAATGTCAACTTTAAAAAGCCGTACTAACCTAGCAGCTTTTTTTCAGCAAAAGCTTTTCATTTCATTGGTTAGCTTAGGGTTTAAAATGCCGACAGTAAGGTCAGAAAGGGTATTTGATCAGATTGTGGCTTGATTGTATAGAAAAAATATATGCAATTTTTCCCTTGAAAACTTCCTGCAAATTTAAATCCTTTGGAAGTTGAAACGAAAACTGGCCCCTAATGAAAAAAAAACAGAGCAAAAAAATTTTACTTCACTGGTCTTTGATTCTCCCCATAAATTTCGAGGCAATAAATACTCATTATTCAATTTTTTTTATATTTGTAGGAAAGAATTCTTATCTTAGAATTTTTCTGATAAGTAAAATTTCCTAGAAAACATTTCTTCCTAGTTTAATTAAAACAATTTTTTTCCCGATGCAGGTACAGTTTTCAGCAGCATTTGCGAAGTCATAAAACTATTTGGAATTATTTAAAGAAAAGTTGTAAGAGTTGTGGGAGGAAAAAATCAAATCACTAATAATTAATTAGGAGCGTTTCATTTATTTTGATATACTTTCAATTATTTTGAAAAATCACCTTTCAAAATTTTGTGAGAAACAAGTTGTAAGATAGGAGACTTTTCCTACAAATCTTGTAGGGGGTTCTAAGATAGATGAATTTTTGTAGGATGGTCAAACCGGGCTTTCTGGCGTTTCAAGTCTGTTACCGTGTTTTTTGGCCTCTGGGGGAAAGAAGGGGCCGGGGAGTGACATGCAGACGCCCTCAAACGCAGCCAAAATAGCCACAACTGCAATAACTGCTATCCTTCTGGCAAGAGACAAATCTTGTTCATTGCTATCCCTCTTTTTCGCACCATTCAAAGGCTCAGTTTCATCCGAGCAGTCTGTTGCTGTCATGTCTTTCGATAAAGTAGCAGCTCCCTCCAAATCTGTGAATGGTTGTGGTTCTCCTCGCATCCGGAGTACTTCACAAATCGTCTGAATCCACGAGAAAAAAAAACGTGTTTGTGAGATGATTGAAATTTTTTATAGAAAACGTGTACGCTTTTAATACGCCTTGTTGCTTTATGGTAATTTGAAAACTTTATTATTTACAGATGAGAAGTCAAAATTCTTTCTTTTATTTTATGAGTTTCTTTGATTTTATGAGGACAACTTTTATCGTACAGTTTGCTGAGGCTGAACTAAATATCTGACGCTGGCGATTCTGAATTGTTTAAGTTCAGCATGCTTCGAAGACACTTATTTTAGTCAGTTTTAAGTAATGACCTAAGCATTGAAAAAAAAAAATTTCATAAAAAAAGACATGTTGGATATCTGCATTTTAATCTTACGTTAAGTTCTTTTTATCAATGCTTAGGTCATTACTTAAAACTGGCTAAAATATGTGTCTTCGCAGCTTGCTTAACTTAAACAATTCAGAATCGCCAGCGTCAGAGATTTAGTTCAGACTTAGCAAAATGTACGATGAAAGTTGGTGAAAGCTTTCGTTTGGGATTTCCTACCAAGATCTCATAAATTTACAAAATCCAAACCAATTGTCCGACTTTTCTGCCTGTGACAGACTGTTTTTCTTAGAATAAACAAAGGCTCTAAACTCAGATATTTTCGGTGGTGTTTTTGCTGACAACGTGCTGCCTGAGATATCAAGCTTAAGTCAAATTATTCGATAACTTTACATAACAAAACTTTATTGTCAGTGTCAGCAAAATTAAAACCAAGACTGCTTCTACATCAGTGCAAATCCCAGAATGTTCCGACTGCCTCTTAGGCGGTATATATAAGTTTTTGGTTAGAAAAAAAACATTAAAAACCATAAAATTATCATGATTGAAATGTTCGATGTTGAAGGCTAACTTTTTCCCCAATTTGCTTTTTGCAATTTTTTGCTGGTATACGATCTTGGGGGAAAACTTTGGAGTCCAGTCATAATTTGGGGCTTGCAATTACTGATTCTCGCTTTCAATTGCTTTCAATTGCTGATACCAAGACGGGGAATTTTTTTACACCAAAGATATATATTTTTTACATGTTTGTGGGTTTCATTTCATATTTGATTTTGGTTTCTGAACTGTGCAAACTTTGTTGTGGGTTCCGCACATTCGTCCGTTTTTGGACCAATTGTGAGCGATACAATGTGTTAACTATTTGTTTCATAGATTTGAAAACAGCAAAAAAGTTTAAAGAATTAAGGACAGTGTTACGGATTCCACAAAAATTATTTTTTTTCACACTGTTGCGGAATCCTCTTAAAATTCACAAACTACACAATTTTTTCTCCCAATGGTGACTGGACATATGAGAAGCTAATTTTAGCAATTTTTCTAGACCACTGATTGGTCACGCGTCGGGTCTCCCTCTGCGGCTCACAACCTCTGACGAAGAGTGCTAGAATAATTGACAAAAACGTCTAGAAAGAGCTTTTCTGAATCAAAATTTCAAGTATTTTGAAAGCTAATGTTTTTCTACATTTTCGTTATTTTTTTTCAGCCTGCCCAACATGCGTTGTGTGCATAGAATCTGTAATTTGCTTCATTTTTCTCACAGGCCTTCTCAATAGTGGCTCCACGACAACCAACTGACCCTTTTTTTGAACATGATGACTTTGTTATGTTCATGCAGTAACATACATGTATACCCAAGTTTGGAGAGAAATTTACTTTTAGAGACTTGGCCTTTTTATAGTTCTCTTAAACATATTTGTTTGCTGAAACCATCAGTCGACTTCAGATCCGGAACTAATTAGCTGCAACGCTCCACGAACATACTCTTTAACATTTCAATTTTCTTTAAGTGAAAATTTCATGAACGCAGTGAAGTTTTTTGGCGCCTCCTACTAACATGACGACCTTTTGAGAAGGCTTAAAATCGGTCTCGGCTATCTTCTGGGTCTCTTTGCTATAGCAAATTACATATTAGGTTTCCGACAGGGACGGATTTAGGGGGAGGGGGGGAAGCCCCCATCTCAGGGATTCGACCCCCTGCCGACCCAAAGGGTCCCCCCTTTGTACTATTTTGAGATATCCATTTTTGGCGATGGACCCCAAAAATTTTCTAAAGGCGCTTTTGGCGCCAATATATACTAGTTGTGAAAAATTTTTTGAAAGTCCGCCCCCCTCGAGAAAACCCTAGATCCGCCCCCTGGTTTCCGACCAAAATTTAGCTCGAAAAACGAAAATAAAATTTTATATCGCTATATTCTCCAGTCAAATTTCATTTTATGATTATAAATTTTTTTCAGCGTTGATACAGCGAGCTTGCCAAAACACGATTGATTCCCTACTAACTAAAAAATGTTTGAAGCTGCGTTTATCAAAAAGAGGTGACTTCAACTTACCATAAACTTTTGGGATACTCTTCAAACGGATTGTCAGAAAACTCTCAAGCCCTGTTGCGGTTTTTTCTAATCATTGTTGCCAAAATTAAAAAAAGCTTTCATGCGTTTATTTCGTTTATTTGCACTCTTCACGGCCCCATGTTTTCCAGCAAACCGGCGAAGCCCAGCTGATTTTTTTGTACTGTAGTTTCAGAAGTAGTCTAAGATGATTATTGTTCCAAGCATCTGTTTTAGTTTTTTTCTTTTTGTTTTCCACGCAAAATCAGGTACGCCCGCCAGCGGATTTAGGAGGCGAAAACGAACGCCCCTCTCCACCCACGCTCAGGGGTCCCCCTTTGCAATATTTTGAGACATTAATTTTGCAAAGTGCCTGTTTTTATAAAATTTTGCCTGCCGCGCACAAAATTTGGTTAAAATGGGGTCTTTATACTGAATTGAGAGAGCTCAGAAAATCAAATTGGTTGACGTAAAAAAAACGTTTTACATGAGTTGCTTTAGTGTACTTTGGGTGTTTTAGCGCCTTTTTGCAATCAAAGTTTTCAAAAATTCAAAAAACTGCGAAATGTTGAAAAAAAATTGTAGAAGTTTTTTTTTAATTTTTTTTTCCGTTTTTCAAGTAGTTTTTCTACAAAAACTGTTTTTCAGTTTTCTTATTTCACTATGACTATCGAATATACCTGATCTCCCGTTTTTTGTTCAGCTGTTTTCTTTTACAATAAAAGAATGAGAATTTGAAAACATAAGCTAGTTGAGTTCTTTTTTAAAATATACAAAAATCTCTGCAAGCAAAAAGTCCGACAACAATTCCATTACTTAAGCTTTGCGCGACCCATGTTGCGACTTTGCGCGACCCATGTTGCAACTTTTTACAGTCTTGCAAGCAAAAAAAAATTTCCGACAAAAATCAGTTTCTCTCTAATTCTGCTCATCATTCGACCCTATGCAATTCATGAGTGACCCATTTCGACCAACGATTTAACCCCGTTCGACCCATGGTTTGACCTCGGTCGACCCATGATTTGACCCTGTTCGACTTATGGTTCGACCCTGTTTGACCCATGATTCGAGTATTTTTTGCAGATGTGACAATTTTTTCTGAGAAAACTGAGTTACAAATTCAGACCGTTGAAATTTTCTGATTTTGTCGAACAGGAGTTTTTTACCCTCAAAATTACAAATGACTCAGCCAATACAACACAGATCAAAAGCGTTTAATGATAAAAAAAAGTGAGAAAAAAATATAATCATTATACAATCATCGTTATATAATTGATATTTGAAAAAATTATTATTTAATTTTAAAAAGTGTTACTGCTCAAAATGGATTACACCTATTTACCAACCAAATAAAGGTAGTTTTATTCGACTTATTACGAAATTGAGCATGCCTTGAAATGTACAGTTCCTAAAATATCGACCATTTTTTGAAAAAAAGTATTTACAGGAACAAAGTCTAGTACCCGATTGCGATACTCTTGCTCATCGCAAGGATAATTATTTTGAATCAAATTTGAAAACTGACAATATTTTGAAAAAATCTAAATCAAGAATGAAATTTTTTTTCGATAATTTTTGAATAACTGGAGAACAATTTCGTGTTTCAGATTAGTTCAGCAAAAAAAAAACAAAGCATTAATGCAGCAGTGAAATTTAGTGGAAAAAAAACTTCGCATGGCATTGAACAGATTTTTTCAACTATTAGCAGCTCGCAGAAATTGGTTGTATATGACTAGATAACTGCTTTTAATTAAATTGATTGACCGCTGAGCGGCAAAAACTGTTCCTAGCGATGCTCTACAGCAACTGTAGTTTCTTTTTGATGCTTTCTTGAAAAATGCAGGCAGCAAATTGTGCTGAGCCGGGCGGTTGTACGCAAGCGCTGTCCAAAACTGAATAAAGATATCAGCACATATGCGAAGCTGCACTTCGCAAACACATGCGAGAAAACCGCAAAAATTAGCTCAAAAAAGTGAAAAGGAATAGGTAAGGACCTTGACACAATAAAGTTTTGATGTGCTGGAAACGAACCGCCGACTTGGAGCTAGTGGTTCTTACGACCCCTCAGCCAAACACAAGCCACCAATGAAGCTGAGGAAACGGGGGTCATTAAATTGCCAAGGCTATGCAGTGAAATTGTCACCAAATTAGCAGTCAATTTTGATTTAAAAAAATAGAAAAAATATGCGAATTATTGATATAAAACAACGCTCGCTAACTCATTTATATAATAACAACGTGGTCATTCTTGTGTCTTAAAAATACAATGACAATCTTGATTTGTTTTTTTTTCTAATCAAGTAAAATAATCATGTAAAATAATTAGCCTTGAAAAATATTTATGTGTCACAGCAGAACCATCTGAAGGGGAAGGGGGATGTCATCCATTTCGCCGTAGCCGGTCCCGCCTTGAGGTTGACACTAGGACCCCTCTAACCGTGACCGAAGTTGGTTGCGAACGCACGATCTTCTTGTTGAGAGACATTTGCCTTACCCCACTCGGCCACGGCCGCTCAGGTTCATTTTAACTCCTCAAGTAATGTGACGATTCAAAAGCCATACTGTTTCTGGTAAAATAACACAAAGGCGAAGCTAGCTTCGCACCACTTTCGATATAAAACAAGAAAGTCAAAAAAAAATCAAAAATGTCAAAAAGCTAGATCTATCAAATTGAAAAAGGCTAATTTTGAAGCAAAAACATGCCAAAACAACGGAATGTGGAATTAGCGAGCGATAACGAAGCCGAAAAATTACCAAGCGTTAACAAAATCGATAAAACCTTTAAGACGAAAAAAAAAAAATTTAAGAGAGTTAAAAAATTACTAAGTCCCCAAAACCGTGAGAACAAACAAACACGAAACTTTGGTCGCTCGTCAAATGATACGATATGAGTCCACTAAGCCAATAGACTACAGAACATTACGTATGAAGTAAAAAAAAATCGAAAAAGAAATCATAGAAATTAAGACTAATAAAAAGTTATTTAGTCCCCCTCACCTTCAAACTCACAAACATAAAAACTTTTTTCGCTCGTCGAAAGACGCAATGTGAGGCCATAACGCCGCTTTAATCTAGGCCGAAACCTATCAAGCACAAAAAAAAGGAAACGAAAAAACCAAGCCGAAAAAATTGTTGTCATGAAAAACTATAAAATCTATCAGGTTTTTTAAGCATTATGTTCGATCCAAAGAAGAGCATGAACACTTGCTTCTCTTGAAACGAATCAAAATTAGGCCACTGAGCCGATAAAAAATAAACTGGAATCATTCGAGCAAAAAAAGTTTTTCAGCGAAAAAAAAAAGAAAATATACCAACAAAATTACAAACAGCAGAAGTAAACAAAAACACATCAAGCAACTAATGTTTGCATACATAATATTAGAATATATATAATTCTAAGATGTGGCAACTAAGCCGACAAAACATAAGCAGACAAATAATAAGCAGACAAATAATAAGCCGTTAACTTTTTTGAAACGGAAAATTTTTCGTTTGAAAAAAAAAAAACAGGGTGCTGTCAGATTCAAACCCAAGATCTTTTTCAGTCCCAAGCGTATTCGCTACCTACAGACCAAAAGTGCCAGAGACGCAAAAAAATTTGAACTTATTATGAGCTGAAGTTAAATGTACTATTCTTAATTATGACCATTCTGTGAAAAGCTATATACAGGGGAAAAAAGTCTAGTACCCGATTGCAATACCCTTGGTTATCGCATGGGTAATTATATTGAAAACTATTCAATGGCTTAATTTCAGGCCAGTTCCGCAAATTTCATTTCTAGACATGCGGAAGGGTTGAGATAGAAACCAAGTTTCAACATTTAAATTTAATTTCAAGCTCACATGGCATTCCGGTTTCCAAAAATCGAGGACAAAAGAAGACCTTTCATTTTGAGTTTTTGCCTCTCTTTTTCTCTGACTTAACTGAGGTCAATTTAGTTATTCTGAGATTCAGTTTTTCATTCAAAGGCATTAGTTTCACCAAAATTGTGTGTTTCTTGCTGAAGCTTTCATCTTTGCACCATTGTAGTAGCTTCTGATCTGGCAATTCTTTCAATTGGGAGGCTAAAATGACTGCAAACTCGTTCCTGCACAGATGTTCTTCAGCTAGCAGTCCTTTCATGATTGAAAAGCTTAAGAACGCTTGTGGAAAACTGTCATCTTCTGCGTAGAGACTGGCAAGTTTCTGCAAAAGTTTCGTTTTGACTGAAACATTTACTGGGGATTAAAATAGAACAAAAAATTCAAATATTATATTTATTTAATAATTACAATTTTTTCTAGTGCAAAAAAAATTGGGAATTCACTGTTACCAATTGCGTCGACAAATGAGCTCTTTAAGAATGCAGACACCAAGTGAAAATTGGCCTTCTCTTCAAAAGCAGCTGCATTTCCATCAAGTGCATTAATCAAGTATTCTTGCACTTTGGTTTGAACAGTTTGTGCGCACTCCTTGTACCTCACGTCTTTCGGCTTCTTACTGTTTTCATTATCGTCTCCAAGGGCCAATAAATTCGTAACTTCCACGTTGAACAGAAGTCCATAACGCGGGTAAATTGCATGTATAATACACCTGAGACCGAAATTATTTTTAACAACTTTGTCAAAATCTTTAATGAGAGGTTGCAAAACTGTCGTGTTGATCAGTTTAGTATCGTCTACACAGTCTAGAATTGCACAAATAATAAGGTATGCCGTTTCGTGTTGACTCGTCTCTATTATTTTCTCCTTGAACATCTTCAGAATCGCCTTGCGGTCTTTCGTGTCTGAGTACCACAGTGCGTAGAGAACCACCTGAAATAATTTGAAATGTTACGCAACCGAGTTCCCAACGACAATGATTACATTTAAGAGTATTCGATCATTCGCAATTGTGCGAAATTATAATCAAATTCAAATATTTTCATCACTCGATTTCAGCCAAATTAATTGAGTTTGAAACTAAACAAGAAAAAAGTTGAAATGAATAACGCATTTGTTATAGTCGGAAAACAATGAAAGATTAATTGTTCCGACCATTGAAAATGGGGAGTAATTTTGTATTCGGGAATTTTAGTTTTTTTCTTTTTTTGTTTTCCACGCAAAATCAGGTACCACAAATAATCTGGACTGAGTTGAGTGATACATCATATTACAGCCCTTTCAGTAATGATTCGAATCACATTAAAAAATGCACAAAATTTTTTTGTAGTGTCGAGAAAGACCGGTTTGAAACCGGCGAAAACTTAGTTTCAGTCGAGTAAAAGTGATTTTTGGATAATTTATGAGTTTTTCTTTTCATTCTAATAACATTTTTTGTTTTTCTAATCATTTTTCTAACAAAACTGTTGCCTAATTTGCCTGTTCTACTATGACTGACAAATATGTCTAAGTTGTAATTTTTCGTTCAGATTTTTTCTATCACACCACGTTGAAAAAAAAGATTGAATCACACCACTCATTTGAATAGCTTTTTTTTGTATTTTTACGACTATGTTCGAAACATTCTGTGCTATTTGCACAGTGAACAGCTATCATTGCTTAATTCTTCTACTGTTTCTAAAATTGATATTAAAAGGCCGCAATTTCTTCTACAATATTTAGTTTATTGAACTGACTTTGGCGCCATTGGGCGTGTGTGCCATTTGGATGAGCCAGTCCCTCAACAGCGGCACAATCTCTGCCCCAATCACCCCTCTGCCCCCCTGCTGGGTATCCCGGTGGAGCACTGTGAAGTACTCCAGGATGATCTTGTGGGCGAAGGAGTGTCTGACTGCGGAAGTTGAGATGCACTTGAGCACAAATGCTTTAACTGATGTCAGCACTGGCGATCGCAGGTTGGGACTCTTTTCCAGCAGCATCTGAAACATGGTTGGACAATGTTCTTAAACTGTTGGAAATATCCTTTTCGGTCAACGAACCTGAACTAAGTTAACTGCGCTAAAACTTCAATATACCGCCGGAAACCAATTTGCTACTCACTTCAGCTCCTTGAAACTATGTAAAAAAAAACAAATGAATCTGTTTTTTAAATGCACCTGTCTTTTGACAATTAAGTTCCTCAATGTTACCAATATTGCCAACAATTAGGCATTAATTAGAGTCAAAATGAGATTAAATAAGACGACCACTGCTTCATCAATACAAATACTTCATACTTAATCGTATCCAGTAACTTCTTACAGACTTGGACGTACACTTCTCCAATGAAATTGATCAAGAACAAAAATTGGTTACTTTTCAGAGATTCGCTACTCAGGAGAGGCTAAAAACACAAGTCTTAACACATGCCGTAAGCACAAACAGCATCCTCTGGTATAAGATCCGACGAACCTGTAGACTCTTAATCTGCATAGTTCGATCCTCGCCCTCTCTCTCGCCTCTTTTGCCCCCCTGCCCCATCTCTTTCTCCTCTCTCTCCTTCTCCTCCTCGGCCGCCTTCATGACAAAGTAGCGACTGTACACTTCGTGTTGCATGGCCGTCCTCTCATTCTGATTGGCGTGGCAGTTGTACAACTCCTCCACAACCTCATTGGCGAAGCAGTGGACAAACATTTCCTTCACTTTGTTCTGAAGCGATGAGATCAGTTTCACATTTTGGGATTTGCTGTTGTGACGGATGAGGGCCAGCGCAACGTGTTTCCCATATCTCGATTTGGCTGAGAATAAAATCAAGATAAAACATCGAAAACACTCAAATTTTTCTTGGAAGATCCATACTTTTTAAGGGTAATTATGAAACTCCAAACCAAAGACAAACGTCTCTATTTTAAGCAATTTGTCTTTTGTATTAATTGTTCCATATTCATTTTGACTCTTTTATAACCTCCCTCATTTTGCAAACTTTCCATTTTTGTAATACTTCTGCACGCTATTTATCGTAACGGTTGAGATTTTTCGCTACTAGGTATGAAGAAAAAATGTGTTCGAATGATGAATTTGTTCCCCGTGCAAAACTTCATAATTTTCTGGCAATTTTAAACGGTTTTTCAAAATTAAAACTCAAATTTGAGGGCAGTAAAATTTTCTGGGAGTGAAAAAGAGCCTAAACTTTTAAGCAAACGCTTATGTCTTTTTTAAAAAAAAACAATATACAATTGGAAAAGACAAAATGAACTCAAGCAGACAGAAAAAATGTTTCGATTTTATAAGCCAACATGAACTTAGGCATACTTTTAAACACATAGGCGAAGCGGAGCTTCGAATCAATTGAGATACCACAATAATAGCATTGCCAGCTAGCAGACAGGAACGGAAAAGAAGGCCACAAAGTCCACAGAAAAAATTTCCAAATATTATCTGGAATGATGTTTTGTTTGCGGAAAACGCGTCCAGAAACACATTCGATAGCGTTTAATGAAAATTCGAAAAAAAATTATCGAGCAAAAACAAAAATAGTTGTCATGAAAAACTTGGAACAATAAATTTTAAGGGATTGTTTGAGTGGTGGCGGAACTGATGCATGGCTCCTTCCATGGATGACTGGTTGGTTGGATGGCTAGATAGAAGGATGGATGGATCGATGACTGAAAGCATGGTTGGCTTGGTTAACAAGATGGATGGATGGCTCGATATATGCATGGCTTGATAAATGGATGGCTACTTGGATGAATCCCTTGATGAAAAAGGCTTGATCGATGGGTTTTTGGTTTGGTGGATAGATTGCTAATTGTCAGGATAGCTAAATTAAGGAATGGCTTGTTGAATGAATGGATGGCTGATTGGATCTGAGAATAACGAAAGGGTTAGACCAGTCAAACTTAGCGGCCACTCCTGCAGCCTTTGTGGGTAACTTCACATCACACCGCCGTAGGGTAGAAACTTTCGATGATTGAAAAAAAATCTGAGCATTTTTTAAACAATTTTCTAAAAAAACGTCATATCTCGAAAAGAAAAAATTATTTATCCAATTATAGTATGCGAGCCATATCTGCAATTGTTGACATCACACCACCACAATGTCGACAAATTCAAACTTTGCAAAGTTTTTTTTCAAGTTTGAAATATTCAACTTTTTAGTCCTGAAAAATTGTATAAACGCCATATCTCAGGGTATAACGGCGTTAAGCAGTAACTTCTGGAGGCAAAACTGGCCACCATTTGAAAGCACCCAGACAGCTCCAAATTGTAGGATTGAGAACTTCAAAATTTGTGAAAATTTTGAAACCTAATTTTTGTGAAACCTTTTTTAAAAAAATTATAAAAAACGTCGAACCCGGGAGCTTATAGAATTTGAGCAGTCATATTTGGAGTCATGAATTGCAGTCCATTAGAGTTTTTTGACAAAACCCCACTATAAGGTTACGAGTCACAATTTTTCAAGTGTTTTATTTTTTAAAACTCAAAAACAAAACATAAAAAACGTCATATCTCTGAAATTAAGAGGATTTGAGCAGGTATATTAGGAGGCAAGATTTGCAACACCTGAGTGCACACCAGCAGCACAACACTATGGGGTTGAGATTACCCATTTTTGAGAAGATCGCAAGAAACGGCATAGTTCTAAAACTAGAAAAGATTTAGGTATTCATTTTGCAATCCCTGAAACAACCCTGACAGAACCCCACCATGAGGTAACTCATTTCAAACTTGCTGAAATAAAAGCTGAAACGAAGATTGCCCGTTACATGTGTAGAGAGATGAATCCAACTTTAAATTACACTACACTGGGCTGCGCTGCGCTACGCTGCACTCCTCCACTCCCATCCTGGCGTACTTGCTATAGACTTGGGCCTTTCCATCGGCCTGGCTTATAGCTTAGATATTGAATATGTAGATTAAACGTGCAAAATTTTTTCGTTAAACATGCAAAATTGAGAAAGCTTAAACATGGGGAGATAGCACTCAGGCACATTTAAATGAAGTATAGACTGGTTAATTATTCCCCCATAGACTTTTTCGAAGATTGAAGAGAAAGGTGTAAAATGGAAAAAGACTTGTCTATTAAAACCCTAGTCCCTTTTGTGAAAACCAATAGAAGTTACTGAAAAATACTTCAAAAAAGTGAAAAAAAATTCCATAACAATGAAATTTCAACAAACCGAGTGGTAAACAAACAACCAAATTAAAAAAAGCGGAGAGCGCAGAAATTATGTTTCACCTGGAAAAGACCCAAAATTAGGTCACTAAACCGATAAAGAATAGGGCGAAATAATTTGGGCCGAAGCAGACTTTTAAGCGAAAAAAAAACAACGCAAATACAAAGTCATGAAGGCAAAAAAATTACAAAATAAAGGAGTAAATCAAACACGAAGAGTAATATTAACAAAAAAAGCGCGCAGCAAAAAAAAACGATTTCAGGATGTGAAAACTAAGCCGACAAAAGATAAGCTGACAAATTATTGTTCGACAGTTTTTTTTTAAAACAGAATATCTCCCGTGTGAAAAAAACAGGTCCTGGTCTGATTCAAACCCGGGACCATTGCCATTCCAGGCGTATTTGTAACCTTCAGGCTAAGTAGGCGGGGAACGCTGAGAAATTTGAATACATTCTGAATAAACAAGGTACTACTAAAGATGAGTCCAGAAGAGTCCTGTGAACAAAGTTTTTTACGAGGGGAAAGTTAAGTACCCGATTGCAATATCCTTGCTTGTCGCAAGGGTAAAAAGAAAACAAAAATCAACACAGCCTTTATAATTGTCTTCACTACGTTCTGTGATATTTAAAAATCATCTAAAAATAGATTGAATAAGAAAGCAAATTACCTAAACTCTCAAACGAAGGGTACAACACTGAAAAGACTTTGGCCTTCAGATCCGGTTTGGCGAATCTGTAGGCCCAGCAAATTACTCTGCAAGTGTCGTGTGAATGACACAACTGCAGCAGTTTCTCATCCGACAACTTATTCAGAATCTTTTCACTCAGCTTGGCTTGTTTCTCCTTACTGTTCTCTGCTCTTAACTCCTCCCACACTTTTTTGATATCCACCACGTCTTCATAATGAGGTCTTTTCTTTTCTCTCAGCTTCCTTTTCTGCTTTTTGGTTAGTTTTTCCAAAGCTTCTCTACCACTTTTTTGCACTGTGGATGAATTTTTCCAAGAACTTTTGTCAAAATCTGAAGATTTTTTCCATGATGTTTTGTCAACTGTCTCACTCAGTGAACTTGAAGATGCTTTCTCCTCTCCAAACTTATGTGAGTAGTGGTAACGAACTTTCGAATCGCTGTCAGTTCCATTTTGCGCTGTTTCCAGCTTAGTCACAATTGGGTTGGATGTTTTGATTTGACGCAAGTTGACATTGCCAGTCTTTCCAGCTTTTTTCAGTTTGGAGAAATCTCTGCTGGACAGATTCTTGCCCAGGGAGGCCGAGTGAGACAGTTTGGATTTCTTGAGTGAGCTGGCGGCCGAAGAACTTTCTCCTACCTTCCACTCAGCTGGCCGCTTATTTACTACAGTCATAACTGAAAAACAAAATACATTTCTTTCGAAGCTTGAGTAACAAACATGGTAAACAGCTCACATGCTAAGCAAACAAATTAAAAACAAACACGAAAAAACAGCTTGAACATTGGAAACAACTTTGAGTTTGGCATTAGGTAGCTTTCGAAATAATTATTAACACAGAGGCGAAGCGGAGCTTCGCATATTTTGCGATACAGCGCAAGAGAAGCATAGCAAGCTAGCGAATAAAAAAGACGAGCATAAAAAAATCGAAAATCAAGTATTTTTGGGGAAAAATGAAAATCATTTCAGAAAAGAGTCGTAAAACCCAATCACCTCAAGTTTCAGAACTTTGAAATCCTGCAACACAAACTACTTGATCTTTTCACAGCAAAATCAATCATATTTTGCACTTGAATTGACACAATACGGTAACTACACCCATTAAAACAGGTGGAAACCGACTAGGCCGAATAAAGCTTTTAAGCAAGGAAAATTTACAACGTCAGGGCTATTAACTTTAAAAATTCCAGGAGTAAAACAAAAACACTTGAATCTACATTGAAAAATTCTGCCAGCACAAGAAAATTCCATATAGGGCAACAAGGCCTACAAATGAGCAGACAATTCATTTTTCTCGCGACAATTCAAAACAATTCAATTTAAATATACTGAGTAAAACAAGTTCCCGCCGGGACTTAAACCCCAGACCATAGGGTACATAAGACACCGCGTTACCTCTAGGCCAAGTGGGAAGGATTTTTGATTTTTCCAAGTTTCGCTAAAGCAACTTCACATTTTCTTACAGATTTTCATTCTTTACACTTGCTCTTGCAAGTTGGAAGAATGAAAAAAATCATGAACGATGACTTGATATGAACTTTACTCAATTCTTCAAAAATTAAATGATCTGATTTTTACTCAGTTTTACTCCTCTTAGATCAAAAGTTTTCTAGGAAGAAACTTTATTAGTTACAAGCATTCAGAACTAAAATTTTGCAAGACAATTTCTCAGCTCAAAACGCAAAGATCCATTCAGGTCGATATCAGTCATTGGGTAAGGTCTGAATCCAATTTCAGTCACTCGAAAGCCAGTCAACTTTGTGAAGAATGACATAGCTTCAATTGTGAAATAAATGGAAGAAGGTTTCAGATTAACTTGGTTGACCTGACCTTGACCTCTACTTTGACCTCTCCCTCATCTTCCTCCTTTTCTTCTTCAGTCTTCTCACTCGCTTCTTCTTCCACTTGTCTCTCATTGCTGTGTCTGAAAATGGCAATTCAGATAACTCTAATAGCTTATAAACCTTAACAGAGCATTCATACAAAAAATCAAAACAATAAACTTTCATTGTATGGAATAAATATTGAATTAAATATCCGCCAACCAAATTTAGAAAGGTTTTGAATTCAAATAAACTATCAATTCCAAAAAAAGTAAAAGCAACTTCCAACAAAATAATTTCAAGCAACGCCCAAAAGTCTGTGAGAGACGGCAAAAACACAAATTATCTCAGAAAATAAAACGACGTGGAAAACGCTCATGAAGTCTAGGAACTGAAAGACAGAAAACTTAATTTTCTTTGCAAAGCTATAAGAATCGCTACTGAGACGTCACGTAAACTAAATAACCATTTCAAAGAACTGGAAACACGTTGAAAAAGTGTTACCAACTAGACATTTTCGTTTACGAATAAACAGGAAGAATTTTCAAATGATTTGTCACTCTTTCGTGAACCCTTGAACGAATATTAAAAAAACATCAATAAAAAGTAGAAAACAAACGTCAAAAGAACTACTAGCAGTGCCTCGAGTAGTTATATCAATTTGTACCACACAGGCAGATAACTCACTACAGCATTCCCAGAAGTTTATAGAAACAGAAAAATTTGAGCACAGTCGTTGTGAGAATTCATTTTGCTTAAATTTTAACTCATATTTCTTCCTTTTCGTAATCATCATTTTGGACAAGGAAATAAGAAACTAAAGACCGCTTCAATAAAAATATTCAGTCTAGAGACTCACCTGTAGTATACGTGGAATGAATCCCAGCCAAACAAGTAGGAAAAACAAAAAGCTTCAAAATCTTATATCGAGGAAGGGTTTTCATCCTTTGAGCTCAGTGGGCAGTAACTGTAAGACAAGTTGTTTGCCAGAAAGAATCTAGTTTCTGCTTACAAGAAACCTATCTCACAAGTTTAACACAGAGGTGAAGCGGAGCTTCACACCACTTACGATACAGCACAAACATAAAAAGTCAAGAAAAAATGAAAATGTTGAGAAAAAAAAACAAGAACCAAAATTTTCGTATATCTCAAAAAAAAAATTGGTTTATAAGAAAAGTCGGTTTCTAAAAAACGGTCAAAAGTTCAAAAACTTGACTTTCCGAAAACAATCAACTGCAAAAAGAAGGTCGTAGTCGACTTAGCAGAGGAAATTGCCAAAACAGAGTTTCTCGATCGATCAAATAAACCTAAGAATTGGCAAGGTAGTTATCGAGAAAAGTCAAAAAAGTTTCCAAAAACAGTCAATAAATCAGAATTTTCACTTTTCCGAGAACCATAGCTTTAATTGTGAAAAAAAACTTTTGGACGCAGCCGCTTATACAGAAGAGATTCACACGACCCGTTTTTTCGATTTTACGCAAAAACTCAGATTACAGAGGGTAGTTTTCGAAAAAAAAGTCGATTAGGTTCAAAAAACGCTTAAAAATTATTGTCTTTTCCGAGGGCCCTAACTTTGAATAGAAAAAAATGGGCTTGTTTGATTGAACCTTTAAAACTTGCCTTGTATATAAATTTATTTTAAAGCAAGCAATTTAGAAAACAAAGTATTTCAAAAAATTAATACATCCGGCAAGCAAGCCTACAAAAATTGGGACGAAAACCATGAAGCCAACTAGAAAATCAATTAATTCTGAAAAAATTCTTAGTTACAAACATTGCACCAGGAGTTTAGCATATCAGCAGGCATGAGTATGAGACATCAACATGTCAGCAATTGATTCAACAGATTTTGTTACGCTAGTTGTTAACCCGAAAAAAAACAAGTCTACATTCCGATTTGATAACGCTTGTTAAGTCAAACTGCCACGGAAAAAGGTTAGAAACACAATTTAAACAAAAACTTTACGTTGTTCATCTACACTTAGAAACTCGTTCGTTTAACGAGTTTACTTTCATTTTTGAATAATTATCATCTTCCGAGTTCGGAAGAAACCAACGCATCTATTTGAAACTCTTTGAATTTCAAAAATCTTACACGATTGACAGTTTATTGGTTTAATAAACCAAGAAGAGTCTTCTGAAAAAATAGAGACCAATTAGAGACCACTAGAGACTAGTCTCTAAAATAGATTCCAAGTGGGAAGCCTGGCATAAAGTCATGTTATGCATAAATCATGCATTTCAAAAAACTGCGAGACATATTGCGAGTTAGAAATTTTCTGATATCGAAATTTTATTTTTGTTATCTTGTTTGAAACAAATAGCTTTTTTCGGTTCATTTGATGAATTAAAAATACATCAGTTGTGTTAACTTATTACTATTAGAATGTCAAAGCACATGGTATCAAAAAGCTGTAACGGTGTCCCAAAAAGTGGCACCAATATTTGCGACTTAGGTTTTAAAAAGGTTCTTAAAAATACAGTAAGTTGACTCTAAAGCAAACAATAAGGAAAACCTAATAAAATCCACATTCGAAACTAAAGTTTTTCCACTTTCATCATCTGAGAGCATAAACTCTATTTGTTCTTTCATCGTCGGAGAGCATAATTCGAATTCCCCTTCGTAAAAAATTGGAATTGAACTAAAATTGGAAAAAAAAACCATATGCGGAATGTCAAAAAACTTGAGCGCAAAAATTTATAAAACAAAAAAATCAACACAACTAAGTGTCTTCAAAAACCGGTTAATTGTAAACTATGCTACTTTTTTTGCACATAAACAAATAATTTTGGATTGGAAAACGTGTCCTATCTATCTAACACAGAGGTGCAACCTATCCTACATACACCTACAAAGCTTGCAATCATCAGCGTTCAATATCAAAAAAACTTGGGCAGACGCCCGTTGAGCCGCAAACAAATGTCATAAAAAAGTATTGTCGACATAAGAAATTCGACGACTCCTGTTCTGTTCTGTTCTGTTTCCCATTTACGCCCCTCGGGGGGCCTTGGGTGGTTCGTTTTGGCACTTCCTCTCATGCTTGGCTAGGTTATTAGCAGTGATCCAGGCTCCGCAGGATCCACACTCTTTCCTCTCCCTGGTCCCCGTGTACCTGTTACCTCCCGTCTCCCTTGCCGCCGTGTTCCCTACCGTTCCACTCCCTCCTCCGCAACTCCTCCTATGACTCGCCATATTACCCCTTGTTACCGTCACCGCGCAGTCCCCACACCTACCCATCTGGTCCCCCTTACAGCTCTTGCTGTGGTTTGTTAAGTTGTGCTTCTCCGCGAAAGTTCTGTTGCATCTATCGCATTTAAACACCCTCTCCTGTATCCTGTGAACTCGTCGTTCATGCTGCACTAGACCTCCTTTCGTTTTACAAATTCGTCCGCATCCCTCCCACCTGCATGTTAAGTTTTCTCCCTGATACCTCGCCTGGCTCCTAGGTTTCTCCCCTCCCCTGTATCTGCACATTTCACTCTCCCATTTCTCTAGCGCTTCTTTTCTCCTTTTCACTGTCGCCTTCCATTTTTTCCGGTCCTGTGTTAAATTTTCTATATTCGTCCAGTCCTCTCCCGCTTCCCTTATGAGTCGCCTCCAGTAATTAACCACGCCTCCATTTAACCTACCCTGTTGTGTTCTCTCGTTTGTCCAGTGCCCTAGTATAACTTTTTTTTTATTTGTCCTGTTGTTGCTCATCCGAAGGACGTGGCCCATCCTTTCCAACGCCCGCGTCTCTATTTTTGTTCTGATAGATGTTATCCCCAGAACCCTACGTATCTCGAAACTATTGACCCCCTCTCTTTCCATTCGCAAGAGTGTTAAACCTCTCCCCTCATTCCATATCCACCGGTAGCATTTATCCGCCATGCTCTGC